GTGGCATGCAGGAACTAGAAACAAGTGCATAAGTTCATTGAAATTTGGAGCATGTTACAGGCAGTGACTGATTAATTTCACCACTGATTTTGAGATGACCTTGCTAATCTGCATGAGCAGATCTCTTGTAATCTGACATTCCAGTACATTGGTGCAATAGAGCTTTTTAACATTTAAAGTTTTCGAAGATTTGTAGTTCGGGCTGTGGATGAGGTTGTAGACATGCTCGCCGAGCTAATGGGTTTGGTTGCAAACATTTCGTCACCCTGCTAGGTAACATCATCAGTGTGCCACTGATGAAGTGTCGGTGTTTGTCCCGCTTGTTATTTATATGCCTCAGTTTGCTGGTGTGTTTGGTACTACTTCTGGTTTTGTTTCTCAGTATGGACACCAGGTCTAATTCAATGTGTTTGATGGAGTTCCATTTGGAATCCCAGGCTCCCAGGAATTCCCTGGCCTGTCTGTTTGGCTTATGTAACTACGGATGTGTTGTCCCAGTCAAATTCATATCCTTCGTTGTCAGTGTGTAGTGAGACAAGTGAGAATTGGTTGTCTCTTGGTTGCTGGTTGGTGTTCATGTATCCTTCATTGTGAGTTTTCTTCTGGTTTGGCCTATGTGGTGTTTTTCAGTCCTTGGATGGTATTTTTCTTACCCTAGTTTTGCTGGTTTTGGGTATGGGATTCTTTACGTTTGTCAGTTTGTGGGCTACTCTGATACCTAGGGATCTGAGTAATCTCGTCATCTCTGAAATGTCCTTGATGTATGGTAGGATGATTAGTGATTCTGGCCGTGTTGTCTTCCTGTTATGGTCTGTCTGGGTGGTAATGGCGGATTGTGTTTTTCGGGTATCCATTCCTTTTGAAGACTCTGTATAGGTGCTTCAGTTCTGCTTTACACCGTTCCAGATTGCAGCAACGTGTTGTGGCTCGTTTAATAGTGTCCTGATGCAGCTCCATTTGCAGACGTTGGGGTGGTTGCTAGTGTACTCAAAGGGCGTAATCTCAGAATTCACTACACTCGGGCATTCACACGTGTACATCAATCTTGATTTTGACTCAATTACTTTCTTCTTCCTCTAACCCCTCCTAGCACTTGATGCTTGGTTTGTTGACTTGCTCGCCGAGCTTAGAATCCTTAATAATTAAGAGTCCTTTAATATCAGTACATTCAGACAATGAAGGCCATCAATTACCCTGTCCCAGTTAAACCATAGTAGCCCAAGCCAAACATAGACACGCACAGGAATTTCTAGAGGCATGGTTATCCACCCATCCTTCAGTCAACAAACATAGAATTGGACCCCATATACAAACTCCTGCAGATCAAAATTGGAAATGACAGTACTCACCATAATGGACTGGACGGTATAAATTTCAAGCGGAGTAAAATAACATCGCTTCATCGGAGGCTCCACTGATGATGTCACCGAGCATGGTGACGAAATGTCTGAACAAAAACAAGCCAGCTCAGCGAGCAAGTCAACAACCTCACCCACAACTCGAGCTACAGATCTTTGCCAAAACTTTAAACAACTTGGTTTGTTTTTGTTATGGTTTGCTAACCTATGATGGAAAGTTTAAGCGATAGATGTATTTGTACGTAGATGTCTTTTTTTTTTTTTTTGCTCCTTTTACCCAACCTAGACTTGCACCTACTTATCATTCCTACCAAAATGTATTACTTCATTTTGTGTTTAATCTTGCCAAAGTAGCAAATGAAGTTGATGTCCACTTGTAATTTGTTGCAGTTCTCCTCAATATTGGCTATTTCCCCCTCCCCACTTTGCACATTTTTGAAAATTATTCTCTTGATTCCAAAATCAAATTGTTAATGTAAACCGTGAACAGCAGTGGTTGTAACGTTCCTCTTTGTGGAAGACCACTTTTTACTTTCTGCCACTCTACCAAACTGAGGCAGTTATTCCAGCCTGATTTAGCAGCTTTGTTCTTTCCCAATTTGGCAAGCTTGGTCAGAGCTATTATTTGTAGTAGGCACTTGATCTTTAAAACTTTGCCTTCTAGATCTCAGAAGTACATATGCGCCTCTGTTTCTCCCCAGTAGTAATCAACATGAAGTACCTATTTGACAATGGGGAGGGATGGCACCTGGTACTCAAAGGACAAGAGCGGCAGATAAAAGGGAACACTACCTGCACATTCTTCTCCAAGCTGCTCACCATCCACACGTGGAAATATATCACCATTCCTTCAGTGTCACTGGGTCAGAATCCTGGAACGACCTCAACAATGACTTTGTGGGTCTACCTAAACCAAACGGATGGAAGGAGTTGAAGATGGCTCACCACCACCTTCTTGAGCAAATAGGGATTGGCAATAAATGCTGGCCACAACTTGAGTTTTAAAAAGTCAACTTTGTTTGATTTGTCACTTTTTTTAATTTCTTGGTTTTCTTTTGTTTAAAAATCTAATCAATAGTAGTGCTGAAGTATTTTCCAGTGGACTCTGCCTCAGTAGATCTCTCCAGTTGTTGATGTATACACGGGGATGATCAGTGCGTGTGCGCAGCATTTGTCAGAAGTATAGGAAGTTTAAAATGTTCTGTCTCTACCCCTCACCTGCATGGCTTTTACTAATCTAATGGTTCAACTCTCTGCTTTGAATTTGCAGACAGCTCCATATTCTTGGAGAAGCCCATCCCATAAATTACATGATCAGGACTGAGATCCTTTCAGCCACTCTCCCAACTCTACAGGAAATACAGGCTTCTTACAGCAGGTTTAAGCAGTTGTTCCTTACAGGTAAACTCACTTATTGTAAATTAGGGACCACCTTTTGGAGGATAGTAATGGGTTGTTTCTTGGTGGTTAAAGGTGCATGCTGTCTAGTCTTAACCCACAATACGTTGTTAGTAATTTTTAATTATGATATGATTCAAACATTCTAGACAGTTAAAACTACAATAGACACCTGGCAAATGTAGACCATTCTCTATTATAGCCCTTTCATGTTATGGAGTAGTAGTTTTGCATAGAGATGTGTCGATTATTTGCTATTTAACTGGACTGAGTCATAAGTAATAAAGGCTTGGTATTAATTTATATGAAAGCTGTAAATTGATTTCAAACTAGCTATATATTTGAATTAATTTCCAAAAGTCCTAAATGTTTCAACATCATGCACAAAACCTATTGAATATTATTAGAAAACATAGGCATGAATGACCTTGTGGTCTGAAGTCAATAATGGGGGCCAGCCTGATAAATTTGTTTATTAATCAGGATATATTCAGCATTATTCTCATTATAATTGTTCTTGACCAGAAAATGCTGCTGAATTCTGGGAGACTGACATTAAATGGCTGTCTGCTTTGGAAAATTCAAACTGGCTGGAAGTTATCAGGTTTGTGCATCTTTTGTGAAATATTCTTGTTAAATCATGATCAGTGTGTGGTCAACCTTGTGAACCCATTGGCATATTGGGTGGAATTGTTCCCAGCAGAAATACTTTAACTCTGTGTAGTAATAAAGTTATTCCATTAATCTGGTCCTAACTAAAGCCAGTATTCCTTTTTGTTCTGAGTCAGGGTCACTCTACCTGAAACGTTAACTCTGATTTCTCTCCACAGATGCTGTCGGATCTGCTGTGCTCTTCCAGCAATTTGTTTTTATTTCTGATTTACAGAATCTGCAGTTCTTTTGGGTTTTATCCCTATTTATCATTGTATACACTTTTTTAAACATTAATCATAATGAAATTGTATTGCTTCATACTTTCAATATAACATGCTTATTGTTCTATTGTTAAAACTTTGCTTTTTCCCTTTGATCTACTACAGCAGCATTAAACAGCTTAAAGATAATTTTCTGGAAAAAACTGTTCTTCGCTGTGGCTGTCAATTTGCAAAACATTTGATTGTCCAATTGCTGTTCAACTTAATTTTATATTTAATTTCTTTTGCTCTCATCCAAAAAGTTTGTAGAATATCCTATGAGTTAGAGTTCAAATAATTCCAAATGATATGAAATTATTATTTAAATGCAATTCATAAATTTGGAACAGAAAGCTAATATCAGTAATGATCGTGAAGTTAGCAATAATTGTAAACCCTGTCTGGTTCAGTAATATCTTTCTTTAAAAAAGGACATCTGCTGCCCTTGTCCAGTCTAGCCTCCATGTGACTCTAGATCCACAGCATGAATGTGGTTGATTCTTTACTGCTCTCAGAAATTACCTAGCAAGCCACTTCTTAAAGAGTAATTAGAGTTCGACAACAAACACTGGCCTTGCCAGCAATATGCACACTTTATGAAAGAATGAAGAAAATGTATGGTTTCTGTACACTTGTATTTTTCAACACTATGTACTTGCATGTTGAATCATGGAATGCTCGACCTCAAAAGTGAAGAATGTCCCACCATTCAGTCTCTTGTGTACTCTTGTCTTGCCAGCATTTTACACCAATGAATGGCAGGACACCAGGAAGCTCAGGAGCAGAGGAAATGTGGGGTGCTTGTCTGCAAATCCCTTCGATGTGTCAGGGCAGATATAGGAGTTAAGAAGGCATATGGGACACTTGCCTTTTTTGGTTGTGTCACAGCATGTAATAGAAAGATTATATGTCAGAGCTGTATACGACTTTGTTTAGGCCACCATTCTGGTCTCCACACTGTGGGATCGATTTAGTTACATCAAAGGGGGTGCAGAAGTGACTCACTAGGATGTTGCCTGGGATGGAGCACTTTAACTATGAAGAGCTGTTGGATAAACTTGGGTTGTTTTATTTTTGAGCAGAGAAGATTGAAGGGAGAGCTGATAAAGGTGTATAAGATTAAGGGGCGTGGTCAGAGTGAATGCAAAGTAGCTGTTTCCTGTTGCCATTTCATCCCAGACTTTCTTTTGCTATAGCTGGCTATAGACCAAAGTTCCTACTTTGCAAATGTGAGCTCTATGGATTTGCAGCAACGCTGGCAACTTGTGTAGGAAGTTTGGGCCATGAGCCAATATTGGCCCCAACTACTTGTCTCTATTTGAGTCTTTTCACAAGCAGTGCCCATACACTTAGCTACCCATGGTCTCTTGCTGGTAAAAGAATTGAAGAATAACTGGAAGAGGGCATTGAAGGGTCAATAACAAGAGGGCATGATTTTAAGGTGAAAAGTAGTTTAGAAGTTTCGAGGTGATTTGAAAGGTTTTTTCATCCAAGAGTGTGATGGGGATCTGGAATGTATTACCTGTGAGCATAGAGCATAGAACAGCACTGTACAGGCCCTTCGGCCCACGATGTTGTGCTGACCTGGTATCCTATTAAGATCAATCTACTCTGCATACCCTACATTTCACTATCCTCCATGTGCTTATCCAAGAGTCACTTAAAAGTCTCTAAAGTATCTGACTCCACTATCACTGCTGGCAGTGCATTCCACACGCCCACCACTCTGTAAAGAACCTGCCTCTGACATCTCCGCTATACCTTCCCCCAATCACCTTTAAAATTATGCCCCCTCATAATAGTCATTTCCATCCTGGGAAAAGTCTGTAGTTATCCACTCTATCTATGCGCCTCATCCTCTTGTACACCTCTATCAAGTCACCGCTCATCCTCCTTCGCTCCAATGAAAAAAGCCGTAGCTTCCTCAACCTTTCCTCATAAGACCTGCCCTCCAGTCCAGGCAGCATCCTGGTAAGTCTCCTCTGCACCCTCTAAAGCTTCCACATCTTTCCTACGATGAGGTGACCAGAACTGAACACAATATTCCAAGTGTGGTCTAACCAGAATTTTATAGAGCTGCAGCATAACATCATGGCTCTTAAACTCAATTCCCTGCCAATGAAAGCCAACACACCATATCGCCTTTACAACCCTATCAACTTGTGTAGCAACTTTGAGGGATCTATGGACGTGGACCCCAAGATCCCTCTGTTCCTCCACACTGCTGAGAATCTTGCCATTAACCCTGTATTCAAATTCGACCTTCCCAAATCAATCACTTCACACTTTTCTGGGTTGAATTCCATCTGCCACTTTGCCCAGCTGTGCATCCTGTCAATGTCCCGTTGCAACCTACAACAGCCCTCCATGCTGTCCACAACTCCTCCAATCTTCATGTCATCGGCAAACTTACTATCCCACCCTTCCACTTCCTCATCCAAGTCATTTCTAAAGATCACAAAGAGCAGAGGTCCCAGAATCCTGTGCCTCCTTACTTTCTGAATGAGCCTACCACATGGAACCCTATCAACTGCCTTGCTAAACTCCATATACACCACATCCACTACTCAACCTTCATCGATGTGTTTTGTCTCATCCTCAAAGAATTCACTAAGGCTTATGAGGAATGACCTGCCCCCCTCAAAGCCATGCTGACTATCTCGAATCAAACTGGGCTTTTCCAAATAATCATAAATACTATCTCTCAGAATCCTCTCCAATAATTTGCCCACCACAGAAGTAAGACTGACTGGTCTGTAATTTCCAGGATTATCCCTATTCCCTTTCTTGATCAAGGGAATGACATTTGCCAATCTTCTGGTACAACTCCAGTGGACAGTGAGGACGCAAAGGTCATTGCCAAAGGGGCAGCAATCTCTTCCCTCGCTTCCTGTAGTAACCTTGGGTATATACCATCTGGCCCAGGGGACTTGTCTATCCTCATGTTTTTCAAAATTTCTAGTACATCCTCCTTCCTAACATCAACCTATTCAAGCATATCTGCCTGTTTCATGTTGTCCTCACAAATGCCAAGATCCCTCTCTCTGGTGAATACTGAAGCAAAGTATTCATTAAGGACCTCCCCTACCTCCTCTGACTCCAGGCACAAATTCCCTCCAGTACCCCTGATTGGCCCTACCCTCGCTGTGGCCATTCTCTTGTTACTTACATAAGTATAGAAAGCCTTGGGGTTTTCTTTGATCCTGCCCACCAAGGTTTTCTCATACTCCCTTCTAGCTCTCCTAAGTCCATTCTTCAGTTCTTTCCTGGCTACCCTGTAGATCGCTAGAGCCCTGTCCGATCCTTGCTTCCTCAATCTTAAGTATGCTTCCTCGTTCCTCTTGACCAGGTGTGCCGCATGTCTTGTCATCCAAGGTTCCGTCACCTTACCATCCTTTCCTTATCTCAGTGGGACAAACCTATCCAGTACTTGTAGCAACTGCTCCCTAAACAACCACCTCATTTCTGTTGTGCATTTCTCTGAGAACATCTGATCCCAATTGGTGCTCCGTAGTTCTTGCCTAATAGCATTGTACAAAATGATCAGCGGTCTAGATAGTGGACAGCCAGAGACTTTTTCCTAGGGTGGAGGTAGCTTATCACGAGGGGGCATAGTTTTAAAGTTAGTGGAGGTAGATATAGGGGAGACGCCAGAGGTGGGCTCTTTACTCAGTGGTCAGGACGTGGAATGCATTGCCGGAGAGGGTAGTGGAGTCTGCCTCATTTAGGGACATCTAAGCGGCTGTTAGATAGGTATATGTATGATCGTATAAGGTAGGGGTGGAGGTGAGGTAGACCTTCGGATTAGGGTATAAGTTCAGCACAACATCACGGGCCAAAGGGTGCCGCTTAGATGTCCCTAACTGTTCGATGTTCTTAATTCCCCCTTACCCAATTAAGTACTTTCCCATACCGTCTGCTCCAATCTCTCTCCATGACTATAGTAAAGGTCCAGGAGTTGTGATCACGATCACCGAAATGCTGTCCCACCGAGAGATCTGACACCTGACCTGGTTCATTTCCAAGCACCAAATCCAATATGGCCTCCCCTCTAGTCGGCCTATCTATATATTGAGTCAAGAATCCTTCCTGGGCACACCTGACAAAATCTGTTTCATCCAAACTATTTGCACTAAGGAAGGTCCAGTCTATATTAGGGAAGTTGAAGTCGCCCGTGACAACACTATTACTTCTGCACCTTTGCAAAATCTGTCTCCCAATCTGTTCCTCAGCGTCTCTGTTGCTATTGGGCAACTCCCAATAAAGTGACTGCTCCTTTCCTGTTTCTGACTTCCACCCATACTGACTCAGTGGAGAAACCCCACTTCGTGACCTCCCTTTCTGCAGCTGTGATATCATCCCTCATTAGCAATGCCACTCCCCCACCTCTTACCTCCCTCTCTATTTCTTTTGAAACAACTATACCCTGGAACATCCAACAACCGTTCCTGCCCGTGTTGATGGGTAGTTGAGGTGGGTAACCTCACAGCCTCGGATGAGCACGTGAAGTGTCATAACATTTGGGCGATGAGATGAGTGTATATTTAGTGTAACTTTGGTACAGACTTGATAGGCCACAAGACCACCTCTGTACCGTATGATTCTATGAAGTAAAGTCATAAATACGAGCTGGATAATTATCTGACTGCTGCAGAACTATTTGGTGTCTCAATCAATACAGATCAGCAGTCTCTCTTTAAGATTCAATAGTACTGTCTTTTGACACATTGCTTCAACTTCCTATTGGTTTTTGTTTAACCTTTCCTGTTTTTCCCCAAATACATTTGCACTTCTGTTGCTTTGTGTTCATAATATGGTTGTCATTACAAAAGGCTGAGGCTGGATGATGTGATTCATTCTTTCACTGCAAACTTCACATAATAAAACTTACGCTCTTGTGGCACAGGAAATAGGACTGAACTACGAAAGAAAGGGCTTGCATTAATATCAGATAGTGAGAACTGCCATGCTGGAGTTAGAGATAACAGTGTGGAGCTGGAGGAATACAGCAGGCCAGGCAGCATCAGAAGAGCAGGAAAGTTGATTTTCAGATCGGTACCCTTCTTCAGAAATGAGGGAAGGGGAGGGGAGCTCTAAAATAGAGAGAGGAGGGGTTGGTCTGGGGAAGGTAGGTGAGTGCAGGTAGGGAGTGGTGGGGATTGGCAGTGGGATGGGAGGGGCGAATAGGTGGGAGAGAAGATGGACAGGTTGTGTCAGGTCAAGGAAGTGGGGATGAGGGGAGACTTTAAAACTGGTGAATTCCATGTTTAGGCCATTGGGCTTTAGGTTCCTGAGGCGGAATATCAGGTGCTGCTCCTCCAGTTTCTAGGTGGTGTCATTGTGACATTGGAGGAGGCCCAGGATGGACATGTCATCCAGGGAGTGGGAGGGTGAGTTAAAATGGTTGGCAACCGGAAGGTGTTGTCGTTTGTCAAGTACAGAGCACAGATGCTGTACAAAAGGTCTCCAAGTCTACGTTTGGTCTCATTGATGTAGAGGAGGCCACATGGGGAGCAGTGGATTCAGCAGACCAAGTTGACTGATGTGCAGGTGAACCTCTGTCTAATGTGGAAGGTTTGTTTTGTGCCTCCAATGGAGGTGAGGGGGGGGACGTTTAGGTGAGGTTCCAGGGAAAGGTGGTGGGATTAGTGGAGAATATGGAGCGGATGCGGGAGTCGCAGAGAGAGCGGTCGCTGCAAAAGGCAGATGAGGTGGGGAGGAAAGTATCTCTTTGGTTGTGGGGTTGGGTTGTAGGTTGCAGAAGTGGCGGAGAATGATATGTTGGACGCGGAGGTTGGTGGAGTGATATGTAGGGACAAGAGGAATTCTGTCTTTATTCTTGTTGGGCAGGGGTGTATGAGGGCAGAAGTGTGGGAAACACGAGATGCAGTTGAGGGCGTTTTCAATCACTGGAGGGGGGGAACGTAACGGTCATTGAAATAGGAGGATATTTGGGATGTGCGGGAGTGGAACGCCCCACCTTCGGAGCAGACGCAGCGGAGCTGGAGGAATTTCGGGCAGGCGATCGCATGTTTGTAGGAGGGTGGGTGAGTTCTCAGCAATGGGGAGGGGAAAGGAAGCTTAGAGCTCAGAAATAAATAGAGAAGGGGTGGAGCTGGGGATGGTAGGTGGGATGGTGATAGGTGTTTTCAGAAATGGGGAGGGGGAAGGGAGTTTTCAGAAAAACACTTTGCTGTTTTATAAAAAACATTATTCTTTCAAGAAATGTGGGTGTCATTTGGACAGCCCTAAATTAAAACACATTTGCAACATGTTGCACATGGTTTGCAGCAAAGAATCCAATTCTGCTGACCTATGTCCTATACCAGAAGAATTTCTGGCAAAACTCCCACATGAAATTGTTCAGGCCAATTCTTGGGAGAGCTCAAATAGTGGGGTGGGGGGTCCTTTGCATATGTAAATTAGGGGCCTAATACCTGCTTTGAGACCTCATTCTTTTCAGAAATTTGCTATTGCAAACATCGAGCCAGCTCCGCTCCAGGATTGTTTAGAGACTACCAACCAAAAGTACAACTGTTTTTCTAATGCAAACGATTAACATTGAGCTTTGGGAGCAACATGTGGTGCCTGTCTTAACAATTGTTGCCATTTTGTCCCAGACTTTCTTTTGCTGCAGCTGGCTAGGCACATAGACCGAAGTTCCTACTCTGCAAATATGTGAGCTGTATGGATTTGCAGCAATGCTGGCAGCTTGTGTAGCAAGTATGGGCCATGAGCCAATGTTGGCCCAACGACCTGTCTCTATTTGAGCCTTTTCACAAGCAGTGCCCATACATTTAGCTACCCATGGTCTTTTGCTGGTAAAAGAATTGAAGAATAACTGGAAGAGGGCATTGACATGTTTAAGATTATTTGTGGTTATTTTAAAAAAAAAAAAAAAAAATTGACAAGTTGATCCAAAATATTTAGATGTGTAGTGTGTTCCTTCACAGGCAATGTTTGAAGAAAGCCTTGGATATTGTTGAATGCCTGGAACATAAAAACACAACTGTGGTGCTTATGGGTAAGGAAGAGTTTGTTTATTTTTGCATAACATTTGAGTTCTTGCAACATTGCCATATTTTAAGATCAGAATATAATGTGAAAGATATGATCTTGTGATGTTAATTTTGTTGACTTTATTTCACCCGAACTCTTTTTATTGAAAAAATAAAAACTTTTTTTAAGGGGAGGAGTGGTGTTAGATTTCTCCCCTCACTCCCCAGCCAGAATTGTTTTTCTTTTGCATTGGAAAACCCATTAAGTGTGTTTTTGTCTCTTTTTTTTTCCTTTCTCAGAAGAAAATTGCTGTGATCTGTGCTGTCTTGTAGCTAGTCTAGTCCAGGTGATCATCGACCCACATTTTAGAACAATATCTGGTTTCCAAAGTTTAATTCAGAAGGAATGGGTGATGGGCTGCCATTGCTTTCTGGATCGATGTAATCTTCTGCGAAACAACGATAAAGAGGTAAGGTTGGAATAATTGAGGAACATAAATAATTTCTCACCAACGCTAAATTTAATTTGGACAGTTGTGCACAGTGATTTGGTAGCATATTAAGTGAATTTGTCATTTTTTAATGCAAATTGTTTGAGTATATTGTGTCATATTTTGTGACTGAGGCAAGATGTGAATAAAAGGCTTAATTGTGAGTGTTACCATATCTCTGCTTATCAGATTGGGTCATGTTTATCAAATTTCTGTGTGCCAAAGTGCTAAAACTAATCTGTCGGAGTGACTACTTTTTGATTTCTCTACGTAACATGAGGTGACTTGTTGAATAGAAAACCGTTCTCAAACCAACATTGAGGTACTCCTAACATCTTCCATTTGATTTTGAAGTAGTGCACCAATCTTGTATTTGGTGGAAGAGTTGGTTGATTCTCTAGAAGAGGCCTGTGATCTTGGCTGGGACATAATGGGGGAAGTAGGAAAAGTATCATTTAAGTCACTACCACTGATTAAGTAGGCAGGTTGCTCATGTTTAGATTTGTAGTGGCTTTGCTGTAGAAAGCAATACTACTGGAATTAACCTGAATCAAAACCTTCAGCTGAGGCAACAATGAGAATTTTTAATTTCATAACGGAAAACTGATTCCACAGAAATCTCTTTTTGCTTTAAGTGCTTTGTTTTAAGACTCTGTCGAACCTTGTATTTTATAAGCTTGTATATTTTGTTTCTTTAAATTACTGGAAGCAGTCACTAGGTTTGTCAGTATCTAAAGATAGAAACAGTTGTTTTAGGCTGATGACTCTTAACTGAAAGAAGTTTTGAGCAAGTTTTCAGGCATGTACAAATTCACAAAAAGATATGTAAAATGAACAAAAGAACATTCTGATTTGGGTGAGTGTGGGAATGATTAAATTCCGAACTGACTTGATAAGTCAGGTACAGAAACATAACAAATGAGCTCAAGGAGGTGTAAATGGTAACAGAACAACTGCAAGAGAGGAGTAATGGAAAATCTGCAGAGGCGGAAAAGAGTCCATGGCCCAGCAGTGTAGCTGACGTAAAGCAGTTGAACCTCAGGGCTGTGGGTCACTTTGACCATGTACCAATAGGTAACATCCCACCCCAAAAAACCAGCTCGCATCAGAATGCCTGGGAGTGCAAGTAGTGTAGCTATCCTTCAGTTATCAGCACTTGATTTCTAAAAGTGTGTTTAGTAGTGATTAAGTCCTAGTCAGAATGCCATGGCATGCTTATGAGTAAGAGGAGTTGTACTTTGAGTTTACATTTAAGGTCAGAGAGGTAGAAGTTTAATGGAGACTCAAGTGGCAGAGAACCAAGAGCAGAGATACAGTTGTGGACTGAGCAGAATTGTTAAGCAAAAATCATTAGTCTGCATTCTGTCAATACAGTGCTCAAAGGTGCCTAGTAAGCATATATGCTAAGTTGGATGAAGTTTTGTTGTTGCATCCAGGAGAAGTATTTGATGCTCCAGTGGTGAGAAGAGAGGATGAAAGGACAAGTACTACATCTTTGTTTACATGGAATTTGGGATTATAGGGAATTGAAGAGCAGATTGATGTGTAATGGAGGTAACCTTTGTTATTCATGCATGGAATGTGAGCATTGCTGTGCCAGTATTTACTGCCCTTTCCTACTTGCTCTGAAGGTGGTGGTGGTGGTGAGCTGCTGCCTTAAATAATACCTACAGTGCCATTTGGGAGGGTGTTTCAGGACTTTGACGAGTAAAACTGGAGGGGTGGCGATCTATTTTCAGGTCAGGAAGTGAACTTGCAGGTCAGTGTTTGTGTCTGCTGCCTTTGTCCTTCTAGATGGTAGTGGTAATGGGTTTGGGAGGTGCTATCAAAGGAGACTTGGTGCATTACTGTAGTGCATCTTGTAGATGGAAATGAGCAGTGATAGTGGAGGGAGTGAATGTTGTGGATATGTTGCCAATCAAGCAGGCTGCTCTGTCCTGATGGTGTCAGGCTTCGAGTGCCATTGGAGCTGCAGTAATCCTGGCAAGTGAGAGTATTCCATTACACTACTGATCTGTTCCTTGTAGATGGTGGACAGGGTTTTCAGAGTCAGAGGGCGAGTTATTCACTGCAGGATTTCTGGCCTCTGATTTGCTCTTGTAACCACAGTATATTTATATGGTTGCCCCAGTTAAGTTTCGGGTCAATAGCAGCCCTCCAGGATATTGTTAGTGGGGGATTCAGTGATGACAATACCACTGATTGTCAAAGTTCAGTGGTTAGTTTCCCTCTGACTGGAGATGGTTTACTTGGTACTTGTGTGGCATGAATGTTCCACTTGTCAGCCCAAGTCTGGATATTGTCCAGATCTTGTTGCATTTGAACATGGTATCTGTGGAGTTAAAATTGAATCAGAGATAGTAGGAACTGCAGATGCTGGAGAATCCGAGACAACAAGGTGCAGGGCTGGATGAACACAGCAGGCCAAGCAGCATCATAGGAGCAGAGAGGCTGACGTTTCGGGCCTAGACCCTTCATCAGAAAAGGGGGCGGGGAAGGGGGTTTTGAAATAAATAGGGAGAGAGTGGGAGGCGGATAGAAGAGGGATAGAGGAGAGGATAGGTGGAGAGGAAACAAACAGGTCGAAGAGGCGGGGATGG